CATAGACAATAATGTGGGTTTGTCCTTCCCCCATAGATAATTATATAGGGTTGTCCCTCCCCCTAGCTATTAATATGGAGTTGTCCCTCCCCCCCATAGATAATCATATGGAGTCCCCCCTCCCCCATGGGGAATAATATGGAGCTATCCCTCCCCATGGCCAATTATATGGAGTTGTCCCTCCCCATGGCTGTCAATATGGAGTTGTCCCTCCCCCATAGGCATTAATATAGAGCTGTCCCTCCCCCATGGCCATCAATATGGAGTTGTCCCTTTAACATAGGCATTAATATGGATATGCCCCCCCCCCCCATGGCTATTAATATAGAGCTGTCCCTCCCCCATAGGCATTAATATGGTGTTGTCCCCCCCCATAGGCATTAATATGGCTGTTGTCCCTCCCCCATAGGCATTAATATGGTGTTGTCCCTCCCCCATAGGCATTAATATGAAGTTGCCCCTCCCCCATAGGCATTAATATGGAGTTGCCCCTCCCCCATGGCATTAATATGAGTTGTCCCTCCCCCATGGACATTAATATGATGTTGTCCCTCCCCCATAGACATTAATATGATGTTGTCCCCCCCCATAGACATTAATATGGTGTTGTCCCTCCCCCATAGGCATTAATATGGTGTTGTCCCTCCCCCATAGGCATTAATATGGAGTTGCCCCTCCCCCATAGGCATTAATATGGAGTTGCCCCTCCCCCATAGGCATTAATATGGATGTTGTCCCTCCCCCATAGACATTAATATGATGTTGTCCCTCCCCCATAGACATTAATATGATGTTGCCCCTCCCCCATAGACATTAATATGAGTTGTCCCTCCCCCATAGGCATTAATATGATGTTGTCCCTCCCCCATAGACATTAATATGATGTTGTCCCTCCCCCATAGCATTATTATGATGTTGTCCCTCCCCCATAGGCATTAATATGGATGTTGCCCCTCCCCCATGGCTGTTGATATGGAGCCGTCCCTCCCCCATATGGTGTTCCCCCTCTACCATCCTCCACTCTTTTAGGAAGACTTTCCACAAGATTTGGGAGGTGTGCGGGGATTCATGGCCGCCGGCGAGGTCAGCAATACAAAATACATTCTAATATTTTAAAAAAGAAAGGAAAAAAAAATACAATCTGCTGCTCCTGAGCTCCCTCCTGTGACCCACCCCCTAGGCACCGATCCCATGGTTGCTGGATATCAGGAGCTATGCTGGTGTTCTTCATCATTACAGATGGCAGATAGTCTTTTGTTTTCGGGCAGACAGACCCTGACTGGTAGACGAGCAGTGGGATAAGAGAGATCCATGAGGTTCAGTCATTGTGAAACACTGCAGAACTGGGAAGTGTTCACAAGTGTCTGACACAGATCAGCCCCCTGCTGCAGCTTCTCGCCCTGTGACTTGCTACAAGGTTGCAATGCTGCAATCTATAACACTGGGACTTGGCCATACAAAATACCTGGTCTATGGATCTTTTAAATAAGGGGTGGAAAAATGTCTAAATTTTACTTTAAAAAAAAAAAGAGCATTTTTTTGATTTTTATACACATAACAGATCTTCATCAATTTTTAATTTTAAAAAATATAGATTTATTTTTAATGAACTCTAATGCAATCACAGCTTTTCTCATCTTTTGCCAAGAAGCACACAAAGTGAAAGAGCGGGTTTGTTTGTAAACAAAGCTCGTGATGAGCTTTGCAGGGGCGTATTTACCACAAGGCAAACAAGGCATTTGCCTAGGGCGGCATTTTTTAGGGGGGCAGCACCGCTCCTGGAAGAAGGGACATATACGCATGGGGACCAGGTGGGATCCGGGAGAGGCTGTGAGCTGCTTGATGGTGTATGAAGAGCCCAACTGTTGTTCCCGGGGATGTCCAGAGCTGTGAAGAGGAGTGTCTTTCTCTTGGTCGCTGTTGGGGGGCGTTAGTGGAAGGCTCTCTCGGTTGGGGGGCAGGGATGTTGTTGGTCATGGTCAAGGCTCGCTCCGTGGGGGGGTCTGGTGTTGGTCACGGTCAAGGCTCGCTCCGTGGGGGGGAGTCTGGTGTTGGTCACGGTCAAGGCTCGCTCCGTGGGGGTGATCTGGTGTTGGTCATGGTCAAGGCTCTCTCCGTGGGGGGGGGTCTGGCATTGGTCATGGTCAAGGCTCTCTCGTGGGGGGGGGGGGGTCTGGTGTTGGTCACAGTCAAGGCTCGCTCTGTGGAGGGGGGGGGGGGGGGTCTGGTGTTGGTCATGGTCAAGGCTCTCGCCGTGGGGGGGGCGGGGTCTGGTGTTGGTCATGGTCAAGGCTCTCTCCGTGGGGGGGGGTCTGGTGTTGGTCATGGTCAAGGCTCTCTCCGTGGGGGGGGGGGGGTCTGGTGTTGGTCATGGTCAAGGCTCTCTCCGTGGGGGGGTCTGGTGTTGGTCATGGTCAAGGATCTTCATGGGGGGGATCTGGTGTTGGTCATGGTCAAGGCTCTCTCCATGGGGGGGTCTGGTGTTGGTCATGGTCAAGGCTCTCTCCGTGGGGGGTCTGGTGTTGGTCATGGTCAAGGATCTCCGTGGGGGGGGTCTGGTGTTGGTCATGGTCAAGGCTCTCTCCGTGGGGGGGTCTGGTGTTGGTCATGGTCAAGGCTCTCTCCGTGGGGGGGGGGGTCTGGTGTTGGTCATGGTCAAGGCTCTCTCCGTGGGGGGGTCTGATGTTGGTCATGGTCAAGGCTCTCTCCGTAGGGGGGGGGGGTCTGGTGTTGGTCATGGTCAAGGTCTCTCCGTGGGGGGTCTGGTGTTGGTCATGGTCAAGCTCTCTCGTGGGGGGTCTGGTGGGGGGGGGGGGGGGGTCTGGTGTTGGTCATGGTCAAGGCCCTCTCCGTAGGGGGGGGGGGGGTCTGGTGTTGGTCATGGTCAAGGCTCTCTCTCCGTGGGGGGGGGGTCTGGTGTTGGTCATGGTCAAGGCTCTCTCCGTGGGGGGTCTGGTGTTGGTCATGGTCAAGGCTCTCTCCGTGGGGGGGGGGTCTGGTGTTGGTCATGGTCAAGGCTCTCTCCGTGGGGGGGTCTGGTGTTGGTCATGGTCAAGGCTCTCTCCGTGGGGTGGGGGGGTCTGGTGTTGGTCATGGTCAAGGCTCTCTGCGTGTGGGGGGGGGGTCTGGTGTTGGTCATGGTCAAGGCTCTCTCCGTGGTGGGGGGTCTGGTGTTGGTCATGGCTCTCTCTCGCCGTGGGGGGGGGGGGGGTCTGGTGTTGGTCATGGTCAAGGATCTCTCCGTGGGGGGGTCTGGTGTTGGTCATGGTCAAGGCTCTCTCCGTGGGGGGGTATAGTGTTGGTCATGGTCAAGGCTCTCTCCGTGGGGTTGGTCTGGTGTTGGTCATGGTCAAGGCTCTCTCCGGGGGGGGGGGGGTCTGATGTTGGTCACGGTCAAGGCTCTCTCCGTGGTCATGGGGGGGGGGGGGGTCTGGTGTTGGTCATGGTCAAGGCTCTCTCCGTGGGGGGGGGGTCTGGTGTTGGTCATGGTCAAGGCTCTCTCTGTGGGGGGGGTCTGGTGTTGGTTATGGTCAAGGCTCTCTCCGTGGTGGGGGGTCTGGTGTTGGTCATGGCTCTCTCCGTGGGGGGGGGGGGGGGGGGGGGGTCTGGTTTTGGTCATGGTTAAGGCTCTCTCTGTGGGGGGGGGTCTGGTGTTGGTCATGGTCAAGGCTCTCTCCGTGGAGGAGGGGGGGGGGTCTGGTGTTGGTCATGGTCAAGGCTCTCTCTGTGTGGGGAGGGTCTGGTGTTGGTCATGGTCAAGGCTCTCTCCGTGGAGGAGGGGGGGGGGGTCTGGTGTTGGTCATGGTCAAGGCTCTCTCCGTGGGGGGGGTCTGATGTTGGTCACGGTCAAGGCTCTCTCCGTAGGGGGGGGGGGTCTGGTGTTGGTCATGGTCAAGGCTCTCTCCGTGGGGGGGGTCTGGTGTTGGTCAGTGACAGGGTCTCTCTGTGCCGGGGAGGAGGGGACGTCCTAGGGCAGCACAAACCCTAAATACACCACTGGAGCTTTGGTTTCCGGCTTGGGTTTGGTCTGTACCTGAAAGTTACCTGTCATTGCTGGGCCAATGAGCTGCAGGCGGGAGATTCCCCATCCCATCGCTGATGAAGGGGTGGGAAAGCTGATGACATCATTGGCCTGATGTGAGCTCATGGCCATGTGAGGTCGGACCACACCCAAGCTCATCCCCATAAAACATGATGGGGACAGAAGAGTGAACTAGAAGCGCGCGCTGGTGCACAATGCCAGATTCTCATCCTTCCGTCCCAGGGAATCATGTCTACAGATAAATGTACGGATTGCGACCATCAAGGCCTTAAGCATGCTTGGATCTGACCTGAGGAAGAACCCCACCCCCCCTTCCGAAGGTGGCACAGAAAGCCCGGTTCCCCATCGAATGTTCGGCCGGCATGGTTGCCGTCGCCTTTTTGTTTCACACTTAATCATAGCAGCCCGGCCGGCCATGATGGCGTTCTCAGCCGCTAGAAGCGAACGCGGACAAGAAACAAGAAAACACACGTCAGTTTAATGTCTTTGTGATCCCTGGAAGTTTGCCTGACCTTTGATGCCGTGTCAGAATTTGCAGCGCAATAACACGCGGGCGTTATTGATCCGAGAAGCAACCTTTCCCCTGACAGCAGCGAGCTAGAAAACCGGTTCCCCCACGACGTTTATGAATGGAATGTGAAGAGATTTCAGGACGGCTCATCGATCTCGAAGGTGAAACTAAAATGCCACAAATTCTGTCTTCTATCTCCTCTGGAACAAGTCAATCAATGCCTAACGCAACCTCACAGCACCAAACGGACAATTCGGGGGGGGGGGGGGGGGCTATGCCTTCGCTTGCTTTGGGAACCCACAAATGAAGGACTGGACTCTTCTCATGGCTGTCTGTAAAGTGATAAACTGCTAACATAAATTGTATTTCATTCCTTTTCCTGCTGGTCTGCTGGGCCCGATTTTTCTGTTTTTCAAGTGCAGAATGGGTGGGACTTCTCTGGTGCCTACGTTGCTGCTTGGGTGACCTGCTCTCTTCTAACTGACTGTCCAGCGTTAGGATGATGACATCACAATGAGGAGACCAGTTGATGTAGGCACAGATTGTAGAATTGGGTCACTGGCAGGGGTGGACTTACAACTCATGGGGCCCCTGGGCAATAGGAGATCATGGGGGCCCTGTGTCCTCCCCTACACTCAAACCACACCCAAAAAAGCCTATGAAAGGTACCAGGGGCATCTCATGGGGCCCCCTACTGTGCCCGAGTTCCCAAATGGTCATTCCGCCCCTGGTCACTGGTCTTCATTCCTAGAAGAGATCTACGTCACTACTTGGGTGACTTGTGGACTTCTCATTGGGTGTCCAGCATTAGAATGATGACGTCATCATGAGAAGACCAGTTGGCCAGGCACAGAATGTAGCATTGGGTCACTGGTCTCCACTCCTGAAAGAGGTCTATATTTCTGCTTGGGTGATGTGCTCACTTCTCATTGGCTGTCCGGTGGTAGGTTGATGATGTAACCACAAGGTAACTGATTGGCGTAGGCACAGAATGTAGCATTGGGTCACTGGTCTTCACTCCCAGAAGAGGTCTATGTTACTGCTTGGGTGATGTGCTCACTTCTCATTGGCTGTCCAGCATTAGAATGATGACGTCATCATGAGAAGACCAGTTGGCCCAGGCACAGAATGTAGCATTGGGTCTCTGGTCTCCACTCCTGAAAGAGGTCTATACTTCTGCATGGAAGACGTGCACACTTCTCATTGGCTGTCCGGTGGTAGGTTGATGATGTAACCACAAGGTAACTGATTGGCGTAGGCACAGAATGTAGCATTGGGTCATTGGTCTTCACTCCCAGAAGAGGTCTATGTTACTGCTTGGGTGATGTGCTCACTTCTCATTGGCTGTTCAGTGGCAGGATGATGACATCACCATGAGAAGACCAGTTGGTCTAGGTACAGAATGTAGCATTGGGTCTCTGGTCACCACTCCTGGAAGAGGTCTACATTGTTGCATGGAAGACATGCACACTTCTCATTGGCTGTCCGGCGGTAGGTTGATGATGTAACCACAAGGTTACCAATTGGCGTAGGCATGGATTGTAGCATTGGGTCACAGGTTTTCACTTCTAGAAAAGGTCTACGTTACTTCATGGATGATGTGCTCACTTCTCATTGGCTGTTTAGTGGCAGGATGATGACATCACCATGAAAAGACCAGTTGGTTTAGGCACAGAATGTAGCGTTGGTTCATTGGTCTTCACTCCCAGAGGAGGTCTAATTTTAGAGTTAGGACCACAGATTGATCAGGGTGCCGTGTCGTGGCTCTGTGGCTTACGTATGTATTTGCAAATGTGTGCTAACTAAACCCCAGTTATAAACGCATACTGTTAGACAGGTTAATTCGGTTGTTAGCAAGCTGGCTGGCAAGTTGTCCAAGAACATTGTTCTCTCCCCTTTATTCACTATGTGATGCCTGTTTATGTGTCCTTGCTTCATAAGCCAGTTATAGACTTGGCGGGTGGCCACTTTTATGCATGTTTGAGTTTTTGGTACGTGGGTGCACTAGGGCCCTGGTTGCCATTGTGCTACATGCTGGGGTCCAGTGCACTCCTTTGCCTTTAAGAGGGGTGGCTCCCTCAGGTCCACCTGCCATGATCTATCCATTAAATGCATGTGCCTCTACTATGGGGACTCACAAATTTTAGAGTTAGGACCACAGAATATCGGGGGTGCCGTGTCGTGGCTCTGTGGCTTACGTATGTATTTGCAAATGTGTGCTAACTAAACCCCAGTTATAAACGCATACTGTTAGACAGGTTAATTCGGTTGTTAGCAAGCTGGCTGGCAAGTTGTCCAAGAACATTGTTCTCTCCCCTTTATTCGCCCTGTGTCCTCCCCTACACTCAAACCACACCCAAAAAAGCCTATGAAAGGTACCAGGGGCATCTCATGGGGCCCCCTACTGTGCCCGAGTTCCCAAATGGTCATTCCGCCCCTGGTCACTGGTCTTCATTCCTAGAAGAGATCTACGTCACTACTTGGGTGACTTGTGGACTTCTCATTGGCTGTCCAGCATTAGAATGATGACGTCATCATGAGAAGACCAGTTGGCCCAGGCACAGAATGTAGCATTGGGTCTCTGGTCTCCACTCCTGAAAGAGGTCTATATTTCTGCATGGAAGACGTGCACACTTCTCATTGGCTGTCCGGTGGTAGGTTGATGATGTAACCACAAGGTAACTGATTGGCGTAGGCACAGAATGTAGCATTGGGTCATTGGTCTTCACTCCCAGAAGAGGTCTATGTTACTGCTTGGGTGATGTGCTCACTTCTCATTGGCTGTTCAGTGGCAGGATGATGACATCACCATGAGAAGACCAGTTGGTCTAGGTACAGAATGTAGCATTGGGTCTCTGGTCACCACTCCTGGAAGAGGTCTACATTGTTGCATGGAAGACATGCACACTTCTCATTGGCTGTCCGGCGGTAGGTTGATGATGTAACCACAAGGTTACCAATTGGCGTAGGCATGGATTGTAGCATTGGGTCACAGGTCTTCACTTCTAGAAAAGGTCTACGTTACTTCATGGATGATGTGCTCACTTCTCATTGGCTGTTCAGTGGCAGGATGATGACATCACCATGAGAAGACCAGTTGGTCTAGGCACAGAATGTAGCATTGGTTCATTGGTCTTCACTCCTAGAAGAGGTCTACGTTACTTCATGGATGATGTGTGAAGAATTGGTTCAACTGATCTTCACCATCCCAGAAAAGGTCAACGTTACTTCACACTTCTCATTGGCTGTTCCCACCGATTGGCAGGATGATGACATCACCATGAGAAGCTCACCAGTTGGATGACATCATCTAGAAGCACAGGAAATGTAGCGTTGGTTCACTGGTCTTCACTCCCAGAGGAGGTCTATGTTACTGCTTGGGTGATGTGCACACTTCTCATTGGCTGTCCGGTGGCAGGTTGATGATGTAACCACAAGGTTACCGATTGGCGTAGGCATGGATTGTAGAATTGGGTCACAGGTCTTCACTCCTAGAAAAGGTCTACATTTCTGCTTGGGTGATGTGCTCACTTCTCATTGGCTGCTCAGTGGCAGGATGATGATGTCACCATGAGGAGACCAGTTGGCCCAGGCACAGACTGTAGCATTGGGTCTCTGGTCTCAAATCATGGAAGAGGTCTACACTGCTGCCTGGATGGTGTGCATACCTCCCCCCAGTGGACAGTGTCAGTAGGGCAGTGGATAATGTCAATTTTTAATTTTTACTATTTTATTTTTAAACTATGTTTTACACATTTTTGTATATATATATATTTATTTCTTTAGCAGTGCTGTTGGGTGAAATATCAGGGGTCTAAACAGACCCCTAACGTCTCACTTTCACAGAGAAGGGAGATTGAGGACACAGCCCTGCACAGAATGAATGAACAGGAATAGCTGTGTATAGAGGCTTCCTACTCATTCACAAGCTGCAGCATAGTAAACACTGTTTACTATGCTTCATTTATGAATGTATACAGTGAGTGATCGGTACCGGTCACTCGCTGTGTTCATTCAGAAAGGTAACGGGCCAGTAAATTACATATTTACGGGCCCATTCCCTGCCCTCCATCCTAACACATCCCCTGCAGCAGCCGGTGGGAGAGGAGGGAAGCTGGCAGAGCTGTTGGGGGGAGGGGTCCAAGAAGGGGAACCTGGACAAGAGTGGGTGTGGCATTTACTGGAACCAATCCCCTTGCCCAGTTGCATCAGTAGAAGGGAGAGGGGGAGATGCAAGCTTTTAGTGGCTGCAAGAGGGAAAAAAGGGGATCAATTCCAGTAAATGCCACCCCGCCACCCCCGCTCCTGTCCAGGTTTCATGATACCCAATGCGGCAGGGAGGCTGCGTGTAGCATGTGCCCTCTGAAGCTAGGCCCATGACGCATGGCGTGATTAGGGCGTGCCCAGACTCATCGGACGGATCCCGTGAGCACGCCTTTGGTTTTTTAGCGATGACTATGGAGGGGGGAGTCCAGCCTCAGCGTGATAGGTAGACATGAGGGGAGCCCATGGCAATGGACGGTCTGTACCGAATCAGCAAATGGTCTACACTAGAGGATGGGGTTGTCCCAGCAGACCGATCGTTCTGCCAGTAGCAGGGGCGGACTGACCATTTTGAGCACTTGAGCACTGCCCGAGGGCCCGGGGTCAGTAGGGGGCCCCATGAAATGCCCCTGGTACCTTTTTTCATAGGCTTTTTTGAGTGTGGGCAAGGACACAGGGGCCCCATGATCCCCTATTGCCCGGGGGCCCCATGAGTTGTCAGTCCCCCCTGGCCAGTAGCATGAAATTGTGGGGTTCGTTCATCTGTAGGTAAGAGGTCACCCTGAGACTCGAAGACTAGAGCTGCCGATCCGATTACACCCGAAGTCTATGAGGAAAACCCAACCACTTCCGAAGGAACCGTGACGCCCTGCACTGCTGGTGGCAGGACTTGCTGGGGGGCGCAGGTGAGCCTAGACCAGCATTCCTGGATGGTAAAAAACGAAGCAAAAATCCCGAATAAAAGGAAATAGAAAAAACCTGAAAGCTGAGATTATAAAGGTGATCCATTCATCAATGTGAGATACAATCCATCACAGAAAACAGGTCACCGTGGCAACGATCAATACGGAACATATCCATCTGTCATCTGCCGGAGCAGCTTCTGCCATCGTCCGCACACCGGCCCCAATAATATCCTCATCATAAACCCAGGACTTCAATGTGGGAGCCACAAGGGCCCCTCCACAAAACCAGCCACGAGGGCCCCTCCACAAAAACCAGCCTCCACAAAACACGAGGGCCCCTCCACAAAACCAGCCACGAGGGCCCCTCCACAAAACCAGCCACAAGGGCCCCTCCACAAAACCGGCCACATCAGGGCCCCTCCACAAAACCGGCCATCAGGGCCCCTCCACAAAACCGGCCATCAGGGCCCCTCCACAAAACCACAAAGCTGGCCACAAGGGCCCCTCCACAAAAACCAGCCACGAGGGGCCCCTCCACAAAACCGGCCACGAGGGTCCCTCCACAAAACCAGCCACAAGGGC